GATACGAGGATTTAGATATGGAAATATGAGGAATACGAGATGAGGGATTTGATTCAGGGTTTGTGTTTCAAGAAAATTCGATACGATACGAGGAATACGATATGAGGAATGTGATTTTGGATACGAGGAATACGATATGAGGGATTCGATACGAGGGATTCGATACGAGGAATGTAAAGAACACAGAAATCCTGTGAACACGGCTAAGAACACAGAAACCCTGTGAACACGGCTAAGGACACAGAAACCCTGTGAATTCGGTTAAATGACACAGAAACCCTGTGAACACGGCTAAAAGACACAGAAACCCTGTGAACACGGCTAAGGAACACAGAAACCCTGTGAACACGGCTAAAGGACACAGAAACCCCGTGAACACGGCTAAGGAACACAGAAACCCTGTGAACACGGCTAAAGGACGCAGAAATCCTGTGAACACGGCTAAAGGACACAGAAATCCTGTGAACACGGCTTAAGAACATAGAAACTTCTCTTCAATTCTCTTCTCCCCCTGAAGAGAATGGTATGTCGGAGTCAAGAAAGAGGCAAAATCTCCATGAGAAAGAGAAACAGATCTTTTTCACTCCCCCTCCCCCCCTTGAAGAGGAGGGGAGGAGAAATTTTGATATGAGAATTTAGAGATAACCGAGGATCGATTGCTCTGATACCATGCTAAAATATGAATATGGTTTTGAATATGTTAGGTTCTTCTTTTATTCTTCTCCATAAGGAGGTATATATAAGAGTTTACATGAGTGCTTTACAAGGAATTAGATCCAGTAAAGGATTAGGAAAGTATCTCCTAATTATACAATGATTTGACAACTATATAAAATAGGAAAGTAAATCCCTTAATTAATCAAGGAAATAAATCTCCTTGATTAATTAGGAGACTCACTTCAACAGAACCCAAACAACTAAAACAAATGAAAATAAAGAACCAAAACCAAAGGAACAAAACAAAGTCCATAGTCTACATTTAAAAGTAACTACTTCGAGACCAATATCCATAGTGTAAGCCGGAGTTCTTGTTTACTAACAACAAATGCATCATCTTGATCGTTCTTGCTTCGGCTCCCAATGATGAAGTTATTGATCAGAGCAGAGGCACAAACAAAAGAAGCCACCAAAATATGCAAATCCCACAGTAAGTGAGAAAATCACAAGTCATCAGAAAACTCCTTTTGATATATATATATATATAGAGTGGTGATTTCCTCACTCTAATTTTATCCACTTACACTCCATTTTATAACTAAAAAAGGAGTGTAAGTAGATAAAAAGAGAGTGGGGAAATCATTACCCATGTATCCACTACATCAGATGACTTGAAGCTTCAGAACTTTTTTCATTTTACCTTTTCATGTCAGTGAATGGCACCTCAATGTCACTTCGCTTTCAATTTTCATTTCAACTTTTTACAATTACTTTTTAGTTCTTTTAAACTTAAAAATAAAAAGAAAAACAATTCAACCACATGCCACGCACGCATGGCTAGCCTCTTTTTTTTGTTTGTTTGTTATTTCTGAAGAGAGAATTCTCTCTCATGGGAACTTGGATTATTAAGATCAGGTCCCACCTTGATGACCCAGCTATTGGGAACGCGATCAATCCCTTCACTAGCAAAGCCAGATCATGGCAGAACCGAACACAGATCAAATACTGCATGTTGCTTGTTTATATCAGATCAAATATGTACTGCAAATTTTTATTTATTTTTATTTTTATAATTACTCTAAATTAATCTAATCTACTGGAAGGTAACTCAAACTTGGGTGCAACGAGGTGGGATCGCTACAATGCTGCAAATTTGGTCAAAGCTTTATGGGTTTGTAATTTATAGTTCATGGCTGACTAGCCTCAATCTATTCTTAAATAAGATTGGTTTTGGACAATGACTATAACATAATTTAACCAAACATAAGACAGACAGAGATCTAACAAAATAGTACAAGTTTCTTACAGCCCAAAATGATCAAATGACAAACCTTGTATGCAGGTCATACCATGTACACATAAAAGTTAATCTCAGATCAACAGCCTACCTAGAATTCTTATGTAGTAACAACAAAGGCAACCTCTTCTTTGTAAGTATAACCATTCTCATTGTTCTTGCTTTGGCTCCCAAAGATCCCCAACGAAGGTATTGGTCAGAACAGAGTCGCAAAGAAAAGAAGACAACAAAAGATGCAAAGCCTGAAACAGTTA